TTCACACGTCCCTCACTGCTACTAGTGCCACCCACGAGTCTAATAGAACCACTAGTGCATGCTAATCCATGACGTATTCTTGTTAAAAGAAAGGTTACTATCACCAGAATAGCTCCAAGTTTCATTACGAGGCGACTAGGTAAGAGTATCTATGGTAAGAGAAAGCGAAGCTTCCGTGTTTTGAGCGGACAAATTGAAAAAATCCAAACACCGTGTCCGGCAGTATACAAAAACCACATGGAAATCAGCAGAAGGGCGGAGCCGGAGTGATGAAAAGCTGTAGATCTAGCATAGGCTTGCTTTACTATTCTGTCTGAGTAAAAAGGTAATTAATGTATATATATATATATATATATATATATTATGTTACTATCATGCTATTAGTACACATTATTATGAGGTTGAGTTTGATGGAGAGTCTGGTCACATTAAATCAAGCACTGTATCTAGTATACCTATACAGAATGAACTTATAGGAAGTAGGCGTGCCTTTACAAAATTATATAAATTAAAAGTCATGTAGGTAATGATGGTAATGCAGATAATGATGGTAATGTAAGTACGAGAGGGTGCTCTAAAAAATAAACACTAAACCCCAATCCCAACCCTACGACCCCAGAGGCTAAGATGTATGAGAGGGTGTTTATTTCTTGACCCAAAAAGCCAAAAAATAGCAAAAAAGGTTATTTATAAAAAAGAAAAAAAATCATACACTGCAGCATGGTTTTGAGCAGCAGTCTTGACAGGATTCAAACCCGGGCCACTGACCAGATCTGCGCAATCCACACCAACCTCTCCACTGCACCACCACAACCCTGCTGCATAAACAGTGCTGATTGTCGTATTTATGCTTGATATCTGTATATAATGCTGTGTATTAGTATACTGGGGCGAAGCCCCAGTATACTATATATATAATTTTGTAAAGGCATGCCCACTTCCTGTAAGTTCCCTCTCTCTAGGACATTCTGTATACATACTAGTAGTGTCAACATGGATCAGCAATTCTACTGGTATAATGCTAGCACTGGGAATAACATTGATACACAGGTAGTTAATGATTCTATAATTGTTACATGATGCCTCTTTTTTATAGAATTCAAATGCATATATATTTCGTCCCAACAGTTCAATGACATTTCCTGTTGACAGTGGTGATGATTATGCTGAAATTACATCCTGTTACAGTAAAGCAATGTAAAATGTCAAAATTGGTGTTTAGAAAAAATAATTTTATAGGGTGAGTCATTGTCTGAGGTTCAGTGGCATATCTGAGGGGGACCTACAGGAGCTTGGGCCCCCATAATTTTTATTGATAATGATATTCATTGTTTGTTTTATTACCTACCACCTGGTAATAAAGTGAACCACTCTGTAATCATTTACAATACATTGCACAGCAGCAATCAGGCAAAAACAAAACAATCGTTTTATATTAATAATTGTTGAAAATGTAAGAATTTGATACTTTAAAATATGCAAAATGAAAATAATCTATTTTGGTACACTATACAAGCACCAAAAAGGGTGTGTTCAAAATTTCAGCACGCTTTGCGTGCCACTTGCCTCTGGGCCCCCTCATCATTTCCTTCCCAGCTACACTCCTGCTGAGGTTAGACAAGTATTCTCATCATGGGTGTCTTAACTCAAGTTAGTATCATATATTGCACATAATATTATAACATACAGTGTTAGGTTATTAGACTCTACAAGAACATACCAACAATTGAGCTGGAGTACACTGTA